TAGTTATTGCTGTATTCTTGCTAGAAAGTTTTTTGCTTTTTGTCCAGTTTTGGTAAAATGATCTATGGAGAAGAGTTTTTTTTTTTTTTGTGAGCTTTTTTTCTGGTCTTATTTTAATTCTAATAGAAAATAAAAATAAGATATTAGCCAAAAAATGAAAACAATGAGGCTTGCCACCATCACAATTGGATGAAAATAAAATCAAATTACATTCACTTTTTTTCTCTTCAGTACTACTTATGATTGTATTCTCTAAATGAAAAATATAGTTTATTCATGTACTTTCTTTTCTTTGCTGTCAACCACAAATGATAGGATTTTTGTATGAAATTCTTCATGCATTTCATGTGGTGGCCTATATTAAAGACTATGAACCAAGTATTCAAAAGAAATGAATGTCAGCTACAGATCCTTGTTCAAGACTTCTTGATATAAATACAAATCCAAAAATTTTAAATTTTACAATTATCAACAATATTGATATAAAAGCCAAGACTTTTCAATATGGCAATGTTTATAATATAGTGCATGATATTACACATGCAATATTGCGAATAGTTTTTCAATTTGAATGTCTAGAGCTTTCCAGTTTAGAACAATTTGAAATTCAAAGTCTTTGGCGTAAGCCCTATGATAGAAGTATAGAATGCAAAAATAGACATAATTTTTAATTGATTAGTTAATCAAGAACAATCGTTCAGTATTGAAGATATCAATGCAATACTTAGAGAAAATATTAAATTAGTATCATTTTTAAAACCTCCAAACATTGTAATTCTTGAAACAGAAGAAACTCTAAGCTTAAATGAAAATATTCATTAAGCTATAAATATATATTTGGAAGATTTCAGTTATATAGAAAATGAAAAGTTGAATTTAGTATGTGATGAAATGATCTATTGTCATATGAAGGATTATGGGAATGAAGAACAAGAAGTGTATTGTATTCTAGGACAATGGCATACAAATAAAACAATATATAATGCATTAATTTTTAGCTTTTCAGAATATGGACTTTTTAGACTTGATGTACAACTTAGTATTAAATTTTTCGATAAACTTTAGCAAAACATTGATTATTAGTTGATATTCAGAGTACTAGAACTTATTTGGATGGCAGTTGGAGTTGTAATTCATCGATATGCATCAGAAAAAAATATTACTGTTAAAGAAATTCCTGTAGAAAATAATGATTTATTAAAGGTTTGGTGTAATTTTTACCAATAGACAGGGTACCTAAAATTGCATAAACTTGAGATTCGTATGGTAAATTTTGACTTGCAAATATATAGCTTGATGGCATTTGCTTCTTTATTCCCAGTAACAAAAAGAACAAGATATACTGAATCAATGACATGATTTCTATTAGATCTTCAATGCAACTCACAACTTTTTCAGGATCTTAGAACAGTATTTTCAATAAACATGACTTAGAAAGGGTATTACCTTAGTCATAATGAGGCTTTAGAAGCAGTTGACATGAAATTTATTAAACAGTATATGTCTGAACATAAAATCAATTTAAAAATTCTAAAACGTAATGTCAAGGCAACACAAACAGAAATTGATCTACTTAACTTTTTAATTTCAGAGATCACTAAAGATCAGTTAATAAGTAAAAGTCCACAAACTGTTAAAGATCGTCAAGATGTCCTTTGGAAATTAATTAACAAACTTCAAATAAGATTAAGTAACCCACAGCTAGAATTACATGATTTGTTTGCAGAAACAACACAATTGACAAATACTGGCTACAATCGAATGTTTCACTGTTACCAATCAGGAATTAAAAAATTGAACACAATTATTGCACAAGGTTTTCATCACACGACTGTCTAAACAAAAGTAGGTAATAAACTAGATCTAATACCTATAAAGATAACAAATAAAAAAAAATGTGTAGGCGAACCCAACCAAACAGATACAATGAATGTAGAAGTAAGCAGTATTCCTATGCATACTTCAGAAGTAATCGATATGAAGGTTGAAGAAATAAATCAAGACCCACAATTAATGCTGTTATTCGAAACTATCCCATCTTCTGGATCCAAGCCTCAAAAGCAATGTCAAATATGTCAAACTACCTCTGAAGAAGAAAACATCTTAAAAAAACTTGAGGAATATAAAGACACTACTGTATTGCCTAGAGAATTTATTGATAAGCTAGTAGAAGAGCTATCCTCATATAAATATTGGTCACCAAAATGAATTTGGGATCAGTGGTATAATCGATATAAGAGATCAAAAAAATAAATTATAAATTATATTGTATACTAAAAATAACAATAATAAAAAAGAATAAATAAAATAATGATTCAACCGTATTTTTATTTTGTAAACTTGCAATATTATTTTTGCTAAAAGAAAAACAAAAAAGAAAATTTAATTAGCAAAAATCACAATCTACATATTATAAAATCGGGTTTCTTAATTTTTTTCTACATTTTGATAACATACCAACCTTTCAAAGATGCATTTCGTAGAAAGTTCTCGCTTGTGCGCATCTAACAAGCTATTTTTCATGCAAAGATATTGCAAACTCGAAAAGAATCATGCGAAAGAAAGCAAAATAATTGCCCATCTTTGAAGGGGTCGTATATTACTGGGTAACGTTAGTTTTTTATGTTCTTTATACTGTTCGATTCGTTAAAGCCCTGGTAACTTTTGTTTTAAAAAATGTTAGTTGTTATAACAAAGACTTTGGGTGAAATTTTAAGAACGTGATTTCGTCGATTAGTGTAATTTATGAAAATCATATGATAAAATTTTATGTGTGACATCTCGATCGACTGTTAATTAGGCAACAATTTACTAACGTTGTAATACGTATGAAACAGCATTATCATTGTGTAATGATATTCATCTTAGGCGATACAATACAGAATACTCATTTACGGGTTTATTTGCATTCTGCCTTCGTGCAGAAATACGAAGCGGCATATTGAAAATCGAATGCCTCACCATAGCCATGTTTGTAGTTACATATGTAGTGTCTGGCTTAAACTTTCAAATTAGTATAAACTTTCAAATTAGTATAAACTTTCAAATTAGTATATACTTTCAAATTAGTATTTAGTGATAATTTGCCCAAGCTTTATTACAATCCCATAAATTTCTAAATCCTTAACCATAATGAACTTTCTATAAAATTCTGACGAATAGATGGCAATTAAGCTCAGCGTGAAATGTTCTAACAGAATATTTTGCAAATATAACATCAAGCTACCGCCTGTTATATCCTTTTCTTGTCTTTTTCCTTTTTTTCCAAAATTCTTTTGGGCAGGCCAGATTATAAGGCGGGGTAGCATAAAAAACAAACGATGCCATTTTAATACTCATCTCTGTTCATAATTCTAAACTGGATTCTTTGTTTTACTAACACGTGGGACCAATAATTACTATATTTAAACGTGGTTTTACAACTTTATGCAATATACTGTATCCATGTACAAGTCAAGACAAAAGAACCACCGATACTTTGAATCGTGTGGCTTAAATGCGACAGATTCCAACTATCCAAGTGCAGAAGATAAAAATATATGGAAATAAACAAGGTGAGCCAAAATCACGCAAAATTCTGTTAAATGCAGCCGAACACCAAAAACTTTACTTAGATATTGGACATTACGGCGCATTTGCGAAATTAAGCAAACAATTTGTCACCAATTCCAAGTATTTGGTTCCCCAAATTAAATGTTAGGCACCGAATTGTATATCAATGTTAAACCCCCCAAAAAAATTTGAATCCCTGATTTGTACTGATAACGCGTCTAACCCATCTTTCCCACAGGCTAACCCATCTTCCCACTCCCCAACGCATCTCATTAGACACAAGAATTTATTAAATTACGCATCATAACTTGGGAAATGTTGATTATCTCAGTTAAAATCAATATTTACATATTAGTTGTCAAAATTTTCAAAATTTGAGGTATTTCGCAAATGCGCCGAAATGATTAGTTTAGTCGATTGAACAATCTTTCTATTACTACAATTTTTCACTTCGACCCTTCAACCCGTGGATCTTGTCTCTATTCGTCGTCAGCACCCTGTTATCAACACGCTCATCGGTTTGGTTATTTCGTCGACACGCTGATCTGGTTATTGTTAACACGCTGATCTGGTTGTTTGTAAAACCTTGATTCTCGATCATCGATTTTTTTGTGTGCTGGTTCGCGATCGTCGATTTTTTTGTGTGCTTTGATCAACGTGATCATTGTTCTGTATAGTTGTTGAAAGCCTGGATGATTGTCAATAGAAATAAACAAATGCATATTAAGAAGAGCCTTGAGGAAAAATTGAGTGGCGGGCGAATTATCACACGCTGATTTATTAGTTGTTTCAACCAATTAGTTTTTGATCAACATTTTTGTATTGTGGTTTGATAATCAGTAGAAATAGACAAATGCGTATTAAGAAGATTCTCAAAGAAAGTTTGAATGGTGGGCAAAACAGATCAAGCGAGATTTGAACAAGTAAGAAGGAAAATAGAATACTCATTGATGATGATCAGCAAATGATTGTGTATTATTGTCGTTGTATATATGCATTTTTTTAGAGAACAGATTTTATTATAATTTTGTCTAAAAATCATTATGTTTCGGATCTTTTGTTTTATCTAAAAACCCATCTTTAAAAAGATATAAAAAGGCCATGATTTATAATAAATAAAATAAATATAGATAATAGGCATGCATCGTTGTATTGTTATACCAGTTATTATTTTGTTGGTAGGTTGTTGATGAGATATATACTCGATACTTAAGCGTGATTAATGCTATTATATTATTGTTGGTATTGATATTAGTGTTAAATTTGAAAAAATCCACCTTTTGTGTTTTTGGCTTGACGTATTGATCTTTTTGTGTTTACACAATGAATACTACGGAGTCACCAAGGGATCGTAGGAATCGACTTGCTAGAGAGTCTTATGCGCGTCGAAGATTGTTACTTACAACTGAGCAGCTTGATCATCGACGTGCCCAGCAGCGTGATGCTTATAGGCTTCGAACTGAGACTGAATCAGGTGAACAAGTTGAACATCGACATGAAACTCGATATGCGGCGTATGTGCAGCATATTCAGCAAAGGTGTGCTTCTAATGCTGCTCGTATGCAAGTGTATGATACTAATTCCATTGTTCATCATCAGTTAGGATTGATGAGAATAGAGTGTTTACATTGTTGAGCATTACATTGGATAGAAGAAAGAGTGACCAGTAGTGTGTCTACTTCTGTATTTAGTACCTGTTGTGCAAATAGAAAGGTATAATTGTCAATTATTAACCAACCACCAGAACCTTTACTTTCATTACTCATTGGAGAGAATAGCATATCTCATGATTTTTGAAAAAATATTTGTAATATATAATTCAATATTAGCATTTACATCAATGGGTGCAAAAATTGATCAAAGTGTAGTTGGTACACAAGGTGTCTATGCTTTTCAGATTCATGGTGAAATGTACCATCAAATAGGATCACTTTTGTCAAATTATAATGAAACATCTGCTTTTTTACAAATTTATATTTATAATACTGAAGAACAATTATTTTATAGGCAATGTTTAATACTAGATTTAAATTTAGCTGTTTTTGAACAACTTCAAGAAATGTTACATAATGTTAACCTATATGTTCATGTTTTTTGACAAATTGCATGTATTTTGTGAAAGAATTATGTTCAAAATTTAAATTTTATTATCATTAAAGCATACAATGAACATCAGTATGCACCTCCTTCTGTATCAAAAAGTGCTGTACTTGTGGTAGGAAATGGTCAAGAAACTGAACCAGCAAATAGAGATATTATACATTACAAACAAGATGGTAGATAGTCTACAGTGCATTTTACAAACACATCATTCTTATATTTAATTACATTATGTATTACTTTTTCTATATGATGATTCAGGTTGGTATCCTTATATATTTTTATAATTAATATAAGCCATCATACAAATAATATTCAAAATAAATATAAAAATACTAATTTATGTTATATTACAATGATACAATATTATGTTTATTATTTGCAAATATGATATTAATAGTTATCAGAATCTTTTGCATTACATAAAAGTGAGTGACTATTTCAGCAATATATAGTTGATACATATGCTTGTATTGAATAAAACTGTTTTAACTATTTAAAAATTAATCAAAATAAATTTATTTAGAATTGTATAATGGATTACAAGATACATTTTCTGTTGATAAAGAAATGTCTTAAATTGGATCTCAGTTTGGTCATAGAATTGTATTTTCTTCTAGCTTTATTGGTGATCTTTGTCATATACAACAACTGTATCAAGATGCAAAGACTATTGTTAAACAAATGAACAAGTTGGATCTGTTTATTACTATTACATGCAATACAAAATGGCCAGAAATTCTGTCAGTTTTATTAATAGAACAGTCTTTACAAGATCAATTAGACACTTGTGCTTATATATTTTATTTAAAATTACAAGCTCTTCTTAAAGATATCCTTAATAATAGTATTTTTGACAAATCTCTTACATATATTTATGTTATTAAATCTCGAAAATATGGTCTTTTTGTATATATATTTGTTAATCATATTATTATTTAAAAATAAACCATATATACCAGAAGATTATAATTATATTATATTAGCAAAAATTCCAAATCTATATATTTATTCATGTCAATTTGAAACTATAATCCAATGTATATTACTTGATCCATCTGAAATATATAATAAACATGCTTCTTGTATATAAGATGGTAAATGCTCAAAAGGTTATCTAAAACTTTTTCAATTACTAACTAATCAAAATAAAGATAGCTATCCTATACATTATCGATATAAAGATAATTATATAATAAAAGTCAAAAGAATTGATCTTAATAATTAATGAGTTATTATATATAATTTATATCTTTACAAAAAATTCAATTATTATATTAATGTTAAAATTTTTTATCAATATATGTTGTCAAATATTTGTTTAAATATGTTCATAAAGGCCATGATTATGCAACAATAGAACTTAGTAATAATAATATTGTAGATAAAATTCAGCAATATATTAACACATATTATGTATCAATTTATAAATTTATTTGGCATATTATGCATTATAAAATGCATAATGAAGTACCTAATATTATATACTTAGTTGTACACCTTTCTGGTTAACATTTAGTTATTTTTTCTGATAATGGATCTTTAGCTATTATTATTCAATAAGTACAAAATGAAAAATCTATTTTAATTATATGGTTTGAAGTCAACAGTAATTCAAATGTTTACCAAATTGCAAATAATTTAATTTAAACTTAATTTTCACAAAAATTTGTTTTTAATAAAATTACAAAAAAAATGTAAACAATGTATTCATAATCATATTATTGGTTGAATATATTTTGTATATTCAGAAGCTGTTGAGTATTATTATTTATGCCTATTACTTAATATTGTATATAGTACACATTTTTTTGAGCACTTGCATATTATAAATAATATATACTATACAACTTTTAAAAATGTATATGAAACATTAGGATTTTTATAAAATAATTTAGAATGGGACTGATGTTTTAAGGAAGCATCAAAAATACAATCAAAACATTAATTATAATATTTACTTGTGACAATTTTGATAAATTATTATCTAACACATTCTGAACAATTGTGACTTAAATATAAACATGATCTAAGTGATGATATTTTATATAAATTGCATCATACTTTAAATAATTTAAATCTTCATTTAATACAATAAGATATTAAAAATTATATATTATATATATTAGAAAATATTTTTATATAACAAAAAAAATTACTAAAAGATTTTTCCAATATGCCTATTTCTAATAATTTACATAATTAATCTAATTGCTTACTAAAGAATAAGCTAAATTATAACCAATTTACACTTTGTAATTTTCTTGATTAAAGCATTCCATTTTTTAATAAAGATTAACAATATATATATAATGAAGTTATAAAAAAAATAAAACAAAATATTTCTATATGTATCTTTATTAATAAACCTGCAGGTTCTGGAAAAACATTTCTTTATAAAATTATATTAGCAAAATATGTTTAGAACAAAATTGTACTTGTTGTTACTTCTTCTAAAATTGTTTCTTTATTACTTGATGATAATAGAACAGCACATTCATAGTTTAAAATTTCTATAGAATTAAATAAAGATTCTATTTGCAATATATTTTTAAAAACAGAACTTGTAGACCTTATAAAGCATATTGTTTTAATGGTTTGAAATAAAGTATCTATGTTATACAATCATGAATTTGAAGCTGTAGATCGAACATTTTGTGATATAATGTATACAGTTGATTCATAATTAGAATATATATCATTTGGTAATAAAGTAATAATTTTTGGAGATGATTTTAGACAAATTCTTTCTATTATTTTTAAAGGTAAAAGCGAAGATATTGTTGATGCTACTTTGTATTGATTACATATATAGTCATATATAAAAGTAAGAAAATTAATAATTAATATATAATTATATAAATTAACTAATATTTTAAACATGTTAGCGCAATCTGAATTTGCTAATTGGTTACTTTAAATTGGAGAAAGACTTATTTCTGAAATTGAACCTAATAGTAATTTTATATATTTATCTTTTAATATTGTTCTTCAATCCAAAACATTTCAAAATTTAATAAATTTTATATATTCTAACTTATATGTATGTATTCAAAATTCAGTATAGTTTATTAAAAGAGATATTCTTGCTCTACTTAATAATAATATTGATATGCTTAATACAAAAATTTTTATTCAATATTCTGAAAAAAAAAAAATTTACTATAGTGCAGATACCTTGAATAAAAATTTTGATACATACAATATAATTCAAGAAAGATTGTATTCTACAGAATTTTTAAATTCATTAAAATTTAGTAGATTACTATCATATAAATTAATACTTAAAGTTGGTGCTTTTATTATATTATTATATAATATTAATGTAGCTAATAATTTATGTAATAGAACTTACTTAATTTGTAAAACACTTCAAGATTATATTATTGAAGCTGAACCTATTAATAACTCATTAGCTAGCATATGTGTTTTTTTGTCTTATATTTTTTTATCTTTCAAATTTATATCTTTTCTATTTATACTTCAATGCAAACAATTTTTATGTCAAGTTGCATTTGTTATATCTATTAATAAATTTTAAAGACAAACTATTAACCATGTTGAACTATATCTTCTAACATCAGTATTTTCTCATAAATGATTAGATGTAGTATGTTCAAGAGTAACTTTATATCAGAATTTACAATTATTCTTAGGTATATCAGAATTTGAAGAATGTACAAATAATATTGAGTATCCTAAAATATTTCAACAAATAATGCAATAAATCTTTTTTAAATATGTTTTATAATTTTCAAATTTTTTGTATATATTATAAAAAAATATCTATTTATATAAAAATTTAAAATTATATTTAAATTTTTTATTTATTTAAAAAAAGAATTATAAAAATAATACTTTAAAACTTATTTTTAAATCAAAAATTATCTTATATTATATAGATAATATTAAATAATTATATAATTCTTTTATATGTTAATGCAAAATCAAAATATATAAAACATATATAAAAAATATATTTAATATTAAAATTAGTATAAAAATATTTAAAATAAAATTTTTTTTTTTTTAATATTAACAGTAAGGCCATGTCTTTAACTTTATTAAAATTCAATTGAAGTTTTTACAAAGGAAAACTTGCTTTTAAATTACATATGAAAAATAAAGACTCAGATATATAATCTGAAATCTAAACCTACAAGAGTGATTAAGGCTCACCTAAATTTGGGTGTTAGTAATAATATATAAGAGAGAGGTATAATATTTAATTCATTAGATAGTCCAAAGATCAATTTTAGTAATAATTTGTGGTATTAAAATAGGAGGTAATAGTAAACTAGAAAGAGAATTATAAGTTGAGTTTGTAAATGATGTAATTAAAAACTGTGCTGAACATGAAAT